AAGACATCATAACGTACGAAATAGGATCAAGTGGCAACGCCATCATGAGAAAAAAAAAAGTGAATAAATAAAATGGTCCCCATATTTGTTGCTTTTTATATATGTTACAATAGATATATTCAAATGGGTATTTGTTGTTTTTTATAGTGAGGAGCAAGTGTTTCAATCTTCTTTTTACCAGCTAAATGATACTGAGCAGTAGCAAGTGAGGCAGGCCAGTGCTGCGCTACTCTATGCCCCAAACAGCTGAAGAATACTTCAGTGTCTGTGGCACTTTCCTTGACATCTCATTAAAGGAACTTTGATGAGATGTTCCTTGATGAGATGGTATGATAGAAAGTTTCAGCCTCTTAAAAACTGTAATTGTTGAGACCTTGATGTACCTTGATACTTGTGACCATCCCATTCCTACTTCCAAGCATCACTGAGGAGTATATTCTATCATTAAAATCTGTCTTTTGAAAAACTATAATATGATGTAGTGAACTGCATATTAAGTTTAGAAAATTTCTGAACAATATTCTTCACATATTTGGATCTAATAATGCTATACAAGAACTGTACAGCTCTTTTAAACTTTAACAACCACAGAATGGTTAATGCTACCCTTAAGGTTCATTGTGCCTTATTAAACCACAGAACTGGTGATTTGTTAAGAGATGTTTTTAGAGTCAATGGTCCATGAAGATTTAAGTGAAGAATTGGACTGCAACATTGTAAGTCATGCCATTAAGGTCTGTATTAAAGTTGATTATCCTTGTCTATAGATTCATGGTTGATATTTTTGGGAAACTGAGGCAACAGGGTTTTAAAGGTATAGTGTGAGGTAATGGTGGAAGTGATAGGGTCTCCCCTGGGGTTGATTAAGCTCAACCTTGTAACTTTCACTTAATGGGATATGACCCTGTAGAGCCTCGAGACTGACTGCACACTCACAACTAGCCATTACTAACATACACAAACACATAGGGGCACACACACTTCATACATTCCACCTTAAGTCCTCATAACTCCCTAACGCACCAACTGTTTGGTTTAAAATTGGGCTGTCGGCAATTAACTGTGTTATTTCAAGATTATTCTCTAGCTGTTGCTCACTGAATAAACTGTTCCAATTGCTCCTCAGCAGCCAACTGGGCAGAACAGTGAGTAGGTGTTTCTGTTATCACAGAGTGCTTTTCAATGACACACCAAGGATTTCACAATCTAATCCAATTCAATCTTTGATTTCTGCTTGTTTTGCCGATGTTACCAGAGCTGGATCTGTCAAAGTTTTTGATTTAAAAATGCAGTATGCCAAACTTGGTGCTAAACTTTCATGTTAATTTCTCTGATCATCTGGAGATAGCTCTAAGCCAGACAAGTTCAACCCAGACTTTATGAAGGCCTAGATTAAAAATGCTAAATAAGACTTTGATGAGGTGCTAATAATAGTAATTTTTGCATCTTAACAATAAAATGCTAGGTTTATATAACTGTCCCAAAAACCTAGGCCTTTATTCAAATAATTGTAATTTGGGATGTGCTCTACAAACACGCACGTAATTTATTGGTGTCAATAAATTAATAGAGTAAATGGGGCTTTGCGATATTTGATGACTGGATTGAAATATTTCTTCCAACACAGCATAGTCGGTAATAGTTTGCCAGGTATTATCATCGCCTGTAACAGACTGACGATGATACATTTTTAGGCTTTATGTCCCTGACACACTGTTTCAAAGAGAGAGCCTGTAGCATTAGCCCCACAGTTCTCATATGTATACCATGTATGCCATGCATGTATGTTTGAAGTACATCTGCCCCTAGCATATTTATCTCATGCAATACAATGCTATTGCTCTTTTTGACCTAATAAAGACTGACTCACCTCAAGATGATGGCTGCTTGACAATAAAAATAAAACTAATGTAGTGGACACTGAATGTCTGGATTTCTTATTTGCTGTCTTTCATCTACATACAGTTGTGCGTGCCTAACATAATTTATGCCCTTAGCAGACTCAAGTTTAAAGTAATCTTTTAATTTGACCAACATATTTCTTGTGATTTTAAGTAATATTAATATTTTGAAGTGGCAAAGACAGGACGCCTTCTAATCTCAATTAAAATTAAATATGACATGTCTTAAATAATGCATCTTTAGCTTGTTTTATTATCTTTTGACATAGGCGTGTCTCATTTCCTATCAGAAACAAACTTCTTTGTTGAATAAAAATAATTTTCCAACTGTCAAAAACTTTTGTTATCTAAATATGGGTTTTAGTAAAAATATGGCTACAAATATGATCCTCTTTTCTCTTTGTCATTATCAAAATGAAAGACATAAGAGATTGCTTTGTCTCTACGCAATAAGCTTATTCTGATCTGTAGTAATCAGGTTATAAATAAACCTCATTTTCTAATATTCAACAGACATAAAAACCTGCATCTGTGTCTGCCGGGATTCAGGATAACCGGCTCTGCCAGTAAGTGGATTCTTTCCATGAAGAAGCTCAGCTGAGATCAACATTAGACTAACTGGTGGAGGAGATATTTTCCTCTCATTTGGTCTTACCCAAGTTTAATAGGTCATTGCTATAACAAACTAATTATTTATGGTAAAAGCCTAATTCATACAGCAGATATTAATCTCTAACCGTTGTCTGGTAATTCAGCCCAACCACAGAAAGACCGTTTAAATAAACACTGATGGTGACCAGAGAGAGGGAGAGCAATCGCTCATGACGAGTGATGATCCTCTCTACTATCTCTATTCGCTTGGAGGCCTAAACAGTTTATTTCGTGTTTGCAGTCACTTCCTAGAGGTTGTTAAGCTGATGTACAGTTTGACAGAAACGGAGGGAAACCAGATCATTGGAGGAAGATTATTTTGACCTGATAAGTAGAGAAGGGTACATTAGGGAGAAAAATGGAGTAAAACACTAAAACTCTAGGATTAGCCTTGTATTCAGTTTACACAGACCACAGTGTAGAAAACATTTTTTGTCTTAAAGTTGATATTATTCTCTTACTAATTGGAGCTACATATGTCTTTATTGGCTATGATTCTTACCATTTACAGAATTGAAGGTAGTCTAGTTGTCCATCAAGACAAATAAATCTCACCATGTACAAAATCAATAATTAGACTTTTCACAAATGTTTGGAGAAATTTAACTTTGAACATCTACCGTTCAAAGGAGATGTGAGAATAAAGCGACTCCTGAACAGTCGTTTTATTCTCATTCTAGAGATACACATTTAACTTTTTGCTATTCTACATAATATAATCTATTTTTTTCTTTTAAAGTTGTACGTTTTATGCAACACAAAACTGCATAAATTACCACTTTTCTTTGGTATAAATCTATTGGTATCTAATAAAAACGCTAATACTAATAAAACTGTATTTTCTAAGCTCTGCCTGTGACACTTTACACATTAATGTCAAATTTAATTTAAATGTTCTCTTAATTCTTTTACAGAATTATCTCCTGTCCTTTCTTCTCTTTTCTATTTTAGCATGTGAGTGTAAAATATAAAGTCCTGTCTTGATTTTTTTATGAAAACACATGAAGTACTAGTTTCAGAATTTCTCTGCAGCTTAGATCTTCCTATCGAAGCACACTTCTGTGAGTTGAATTTACAAACACAACTCCATTTACCCAACAATGATGGGCCTTGCTTAGCTCACAAACTATAGTGTTAATATTGGTTAATCTGATTGTGACAAATGATGAATAACTTTTCCCAAGTGCACAGGATCCAAAGGATTAACATCGTTTACTTCTTGCTATATGCTGGGTATCTCCTCTGGCAAAGACTAGAATTGATGACTTGCTGTGAGAGGCAACAATGTTTATGTGCAACTAAACAGTCACATTGAGTAGTTATCAGAAAGGCTTCATGGGTAAATTGTTCTCCATAAATTATTTGACTTTGAGGCATTATTATTATTATTATAATTGTTGCAGTTTACATTTCTTGCCTTGCATCAGCTACCCTTCTCTGAGTTTATCTTTATTCCCACCATCTTCTCATACACATATTCACAAAAACTCTGAGGGGCATGAGAACGGGCTAAGTCCTTGACAACTTCAATGAAACCTCAACAAAGACTAAAACTCAGAGCCAGGGCGAGAGAAATGCAACACCTTACAGTAGCCTGACCTCCTCCAGGTAACACAGACATGTATGCACCAGATACCGGGCGTGGCCAGCTCCCTGCACAAAGCCAGAAATAAAGAGAGAAGCTATTGCTTTCAGCTGCAGGACCCCCAGGTGACCTTCCTTATCGACCCCTGCATGACCCCCTTAGTGAGGGGAAAAAGAGCAGGAAAGCTCTTGGTGTCATTACACAATAGTTAAAGACACAGGAATATCTTGACAATAACTATAAAGGATGCTGTCATTGTGCATTCTCACTGGATCAGTGTGTAGGTAATGGTCTCAGCTCTTGGATCCTTGCACCAACCTTAAAAGCCCAGGATGGTCATAAGTCAAACTCTTTTCTCTATCTGCTCTCTCAATATGAGTGTAGCCTCAAGTCTTTGGTCATTCATGTATTGTTCCTTATGTTTTTCTCTACAGATGGGCTGCTTTTTCTTTTTCGGGTCAAAAAGAGGTTCATGGCTTTAGGGTAGAACCGTGCTAAACTTACACCAAGGAATGTGTCACATCAAGCTTTAACACCAGCTGGGAAAGGGGGCTCTGGGCCACAAAGTTTTTCATTCCCTTTCTGAAATTTCTGCCATAAATAATTTCAAAACCCTCTACAGAAGATGACTTGGGTTGAACATAACTATTGGAATGTGTTTTGTTTTGCAGTGACTTTATGTATACCACCTCTGTACACTAGGCAGACGTCTTCCATCTTCACTCGTGTGTAAACAGTTATCCTTTTTGTTTATGTTCTGATATGTTACGGTGAACCCGGTGAGAGTGCTCTATAACCACTATATAAATCCATCCATCCATCTTCTGTAAGATTTCTCACATTAGGGCATCTTTTCTTTGCAGTTGACCTGGAGCACATGAGGACCATAAAGGCAGACAAACACCAGCGCCTCTGCCAGGAGAACGGCCTCATCAGTCAGTTCGTATCGGCCAAGACGGGGGATTCGGTTTGTAAAACCCTCCTTTGAGTCATGCTCAATGTTTTTCAATAAAGTTTGCATGTTTTATTTATTTATTTTTTTTGTCTTTTTCCAGGTTTATCTGTGTTTCCAACGAGTAGCAGCTGAAATTCTTGGTATCAAGCTAAATAAAGCAGAAATAGAACAGTCCCAGGTGAGCTATTAGCATATTAGACATTAAACACGTAAATAACACCAAATTCCATAATTTACTAATTAAGTGTAGTACTAAAAGCCAGTTGGTTGCACTAGATCTTGTTTTACAGTATCAGATTAAAAGGAAGTTCAATAAAATTCACATTTAAATTGTGCAAAAAATTTGAAATACATTCAAAATTTTCCTTCAACTCAAGAACTCTGCTTGGTCTATGAAATCCCTCAAAATACATTAAGATTTGTTGCGATAACATGATGAAATGTAGAAAAGTTAAGTGGGTATCAGTACTTTAGCAAGGGGTTGTGTATTCTGTGTTATGCTTGAACTTAAGGGAGGTCATAGAGAGTATGTTAGGTCATCAAAGGTTACCACACCCTGACTTTTTGTACTTTTTGTTGTGTAAACATGAGTTTGTTACGTCTGCTCCTCTGTGATGGTCTTTCTACCATTGACGCGGTCCTTCTGTAAATAGAACCACGCTGACCGCATTAATGCATGAAGTCCGGGGTCAAAGGTAGGCAGTTGTAAGGGTGAAGAGGTTAGGGTGGGTTGTCTGATTTATTTAGCTTATCTCCCACCGTTTTAGGATGAAACGAGGTCTCCGCTTGCCAGTCAGCCCAAGGTGCCCAATGGTGGCAGCTGTAGGATTTACAAGGCCACCTCCCCCAGAAGCATTAATCCTGGGTCTGATATGAATGGCTGGAGCCATACTGGCTGGGCAGTGGTTGATGAGCATGGGGGCTACAGAGAGGTCAGGACCCCCAGAGAAGGGAGAGCATATAGAAGAAGGACTGACCAAATTCCCAAAATCCACTCCCATCACCAACAGGGCTGCTGACTAACAGAAAATGGCTACACACTAATAGAGCTGTCCATCTACTTTCCTCTCCCAGCCCTCCCTTGATAGCTCTGTCAGTTAAGAAAAGTGCTTTAATCCGGACTAATCAGGCTAGGTGAATCCACTTTACACCTTGAGGAAAGGGGTTGAGATGATCTGACATGAGCCAAAAAATGGAGCAATTCAAATAAACAACTGTAGAGTTTAAGTTAAGATTACTTTTATAGCCAAATATTTCTAAAATATGAATGTGCCAGAGCAATTTGAGGCGAGGATTCCTCCAATTGAATATCTTAATAAAGATATTTTTTGTTGAAAAAGAAGCTCTTAAAAGATTAGGGCAAAAAAAGGAAACATATGTAGAACATCATAGTGTTTATAAATTAACATTCTTGGAACCATTCGCTTATCTGCTAGACTCAGAGAAATGTACCAAAAGAAAAGAAGAAGGGGAAAGGGGGATGGGTTGGGGATTGGGTGAAATTAAGCAGTTATATAGAAAATTTATAGAAAAGTCTCGGTCTCTGACAGTATATATCAGAAATTGTTGCCAGGCGGTGTAAAAGCTGCACTGCTGAAACACAAAATCTTATCATGTACAATTTCTTAGCAGATTTTTTCGCTTATGGAAAAACATCTTTTATTAAAAGTGAAAAATCTGCCAGTAGAACACCAGAAAACAGAGAAAACAATATAATTTCAGATGTTGTGCTCTTTCACTGTAGACATAGAATATTTTCTGCATAACTTCAATAACCCATTGTGAACATGAATGAGGCAAGGAGTCTTTCCAATCCAAATAAACAACTACAGACAACGACATAAATAAGGAAAAATCTAAAAAAAAAAAACAGTTCATTTTACAAATATCTGTTTTATGGTTAAGAGAAATATGTTTACCAGTTGATAGATTTTCAACACATTTTTAAAATGTAGATCAATTTTAAATTAATGCATTCAGCTAACTCAATTAACTTTTGTTTATGTGTCATAAAATTTATTAATGTTATTCCGAGTCACTTTGACACAACCAGGTGGTATCCAGTACTGATTCAAAATCAGTCTAGATCACTGCAGTTTATTCCAACAGGGCCCAGTTATACAGTGACACTCACGTTCAAGTACTTAAGATCCCAGGTATATTATACTACACTCAAAGTCAAGTCATCATATAACAGCTATAAAAAGTCTTTCTATGGAATCCCAGCTGGTTGGAATGAATTGTTGACCTTGCAGCATTTGGTGTTTTCAGTCAATCACTATTGATTAAAAAAAAACAAAACACATTGCTAAATAAGAAAGTCACAATCTTACTAAAGAACTGTTGCAGACAGATCTTTTCTTTGTTTGGGAAACACTGGAGTGAAATAAAAGCAATAACCATACATGTTATGGAGCATTAAAAAAGGAATGTGCATCGTATCTCTTCCAAGAAAGAAAAAAAATATGAGCATTTTTAAAGAACGCCAGAGTTTAATGTTTGTGTCATGCATCCAGAGATGAGGCTTTGAGCAGGTCATGGCCCTCGCTGTAGCTGTAGGCCCAGCAAAGCCTCATTATCAGCTGTCATGTTTAGAGAGTTGAACATGAGGGTCACAACCCCCCGACGGTATTATATCTGCCTGGCAGCCCTTTCCGTCTTGGTTCTCTGTCTGCTGGATCAGATAGTGAGGCTGCAGATCACTCAGTAACCCCGACACCAGGCTTCGGCGACTCATTAATCAGACAAGCAGCCGGGAAATTCAGCAGTGTGGACTGAGTCCCAGTGGTCATGCAGAAAAAGGGTTGACTTTAGTAAAACTACCATCAAATATATACCGTACTTATTTTAATAAAAAAATAATGACCCCAATAAGAATAGAGTATTGCAACATGACTTTAGTCTAAATCTCAGCCTGCGTCAGTGCAAAAAATAAAGTGAATTGAGAAGCAAATAAGCCATATATAATATATGTCCGCATCTATAATAAATGAGTTTGTTTGTTAAAAATGATGAACGGAATATATTTAAGATCTTGTTTCTAATCTGAGGTTCTTTTTTTTATTCCTGTTAAAGTCAATTTAAATTAGTTCAATAATTATTTATTTAAAACTATTGTGCATTAGTGCGACAGACTGGCGACATGCCCAGGGCGTACCCTGCCTCTCGCCCGAAATGTTCGCTGGAAATCTCTCCATCACCCTCCTGACCCCACCAGGGATAAGAGTGTACAGAAAATGGAAGGGTGGATGCACATTAGTGTCTGACTTTAAATTTTTCTATTGCTTGTATATAGACATTGCTTCTCGTTGATTTTGTATATTTGGCTTAGCTGTGCACACTGGAGCTGTTTTTCATGTTTTGGATTTTATTTTTACTCCATTTCCCATCTCTTGTCTTTACTCAAACTTGGTGTTCATTCTTTTCTGTCTTACTGTTCTCTTTGCCATTTTTCTGTTTTCTGTTTTTTATCTTTCCTTCTCTGCATTGATCCACTGCTAAGAGGATTGTGAAAGCTGAGCTGGTGGACTACTCACATGATGAAGGCCCAATTAGACAGGACAACGCTCAGCAAAGCAAAATCTGTTTGCTTCAGTAACTTAAAGTATGTCACTTCAGTTACTATGTAGATCTAAACTCTGCTGTAATGCAGACACTGTAGGTCGGTAGTTGTTAACCTATTCCCTGTAGATCAAATATGACCTCTAGAAAAATATAATAGAACCTGATTACTCATTAGCTCTCTGCCATTATGTTACAAAGGATTCAATTATATTTTACTGACTTGTCTTGATGGTAACTTCAACTTTCAGGTACCTCCAGACCTTTGTTTCAACCAGAGTATTAATTTCTGGCATACATGCTGAGCCTTATGTTGAAGAAACAGCTCAGCAGCTTGAGATCATGCTCATTCACAGTCAGACCAACGCCACGTATGTCTGCATGCTGCATATGTTCCCACAGTCAGCAAATGTAGTAAATCACTCTGTACACATTTAAAACCCCCATTAAATGTTACATTTTACAATCCTTGTTCAAAATTATGGAATTACTTTGTGTGAAAAATGTGCAGTTCTTTTACTTTGCCCCCCCAAAACACAAAAAAACCCCAAAACCCAGCAGTTTTTTTAACCAGCTGAACATTCTATGCATTTCTGATACAAATACATGCACAGATCTTACTATGCAAATGATGCTGCAGTTCAAGGACAGCACTTGAAGATATTACTGAAATGTTGAGCCTATTATACAAAACAAATATGTAAACATCACCTGTAATGTTCCTGTTTATTGGCGAAAGGAACCAATAAGTAGGAACAGACTGGAAAGGTAATGGCAGGCATTCAGGCATTACCTTTCCAGTAAATGGAGAGGTGGACAATTAAATTTTAGATGTTTTTTTTTCTTTCCATTTTTCTTGATGATAATGCTTTTTGCCAGCCCAAACGTTTTAACCAAATCATGCCATATAAAAGGCAGATCTTGCAAGTACTAAGAAAATGTGCAGCATGTGTACTTCTGTATTTAAAAATAAGAAAAAGTAAGAATCTCAAATTTTTCTGGCATTACGCAAAATAGAAATAATTTTTAATCCTAACTGATCCACAACAGGAAACATTAAGTTTGATTTAGTGTCATGCTGAAAAAAAGAGGTTCCCTTTTGAAGTGTGTAAGTTCATGTTTTCAACTTTCCACTTTTCAGATTCCTTTAGTAATGGTATCTGATGAAATTGTTGCTGCAGATTTTTAACCCTCTGCTTGCGTTTCCATTTTTACAGCGCGTTGTGAAGGCGGACATCGTGAACTACAGTCAGGACACGGTAGCCAGGACAGCCAACACGCCTCGAAGCTCCATGTGTGTGCTTCAGTGATCCTCAAGCACAAAAACACACACATTAAAATGTAAAATCGATCGTCTTCACGCAGTATTAGAACTTTGAGTGAACTGGAGGAGAAAGTATTTGGAGCAAGGTTTCTGTGTTCCTGTGTGTCAGTTGTATTGCTGGGATGAAGAACAGACTGCGTGGCTCCGAGGCCTTGGCATGTAGTTCGGATATTTAGCAGGAATTAGTTCTTGGGTGGTTCACCAAAAAAAAAAAAAAAAAAAAAAAAAGGACCTCAGTTTTTTAAGTTTATGTGCAGCTATCAATTTCTTCTACACCTTTAAAGCTATTACCTGATTTATACCTTAGGGTGAAGCTGGTAATTTAAAGGAGCAACGTAGAAACTGAAAACAATGTTATAGAAACGTTTTTTTTTTTTGTTTTTTTTTTTGCTTTACCTTTTAGTTTGATAGTCTGCATATTTCAGCTTTAATATACTTTCTGTTTGTTTTTTTTATTGAAAATTGCAAATAAAGGACAGGCAGAGGTAAAATCTATATCTTTCATACTTTTATTGAGATCTTTACATCTATATGTGCTGTTTACTTGCAAACCAAAACGGTAGAGTGAAAATGCTGCTGTTACTGAAATAAAACAATTAGGTGATTGCTTGCTCAGTGTAAACAGTATGCTGTTATTTCACTTAGACATTCCAAGATTTATTCTTAAATATTTATTTCTCCTGATCCAACAATAAGTTACAACCTGCAAAGTAGTTCTGTCCAATTTGTTTTAGTTGACTGGATTTTAGTGATTCAGTTCTTCTTATAATTTTATATTTCCACTCTCATTTTGTTAGTTGTTGAAACATTGAAATCCTAAAACAAATATCTGAGTATATCTGAGTCATTTAAGCTTTTTTTAGATTAGTAGTTGGACTTTCAGTTGTAAAATAAATATTCCTGTTGGAGAATGGCAATGATGCCAAAGGTCTTAATTTTGCTGATTTAAATGCTTGTTCTTTAGCTTGTCTGTCCCTTAAATATGCTCAGTTTTAAATGTCTTCTTTCCCAATCAGCTTCCACATGATGCTATTATGTCAGCATGCTGTTGAAACTTGAAACTGCATTGTTGATTTCTGTTTATTGGTACAGTAACTCATCTAAGTAGTCAGAGAAGATTCTGCAAATGCTGAATATGTAAACAAAATGTGCTTTTTGAGAATGTAGAGCTCTATATATTGTAAAGCAAGAAAGATTTGTTTGAAAATAAAAAGTGCAACATGGAAAGCAAGATGTGCTTGTGTTAATACAAAACTTGTTCATTATGGTGAGTTTTGAAGTTTTCAATGTTTGGTTTTATTATTAGACAATAAAGTTGCATACACTTGAGTAGGATCGCTTGCTTGTGTTTATGACAAGATGAGAATTCTTAAAACATTTAAAAAATTGTTTTGGTTCATGTCATTTTAAAGCTCTTGAAGGACCCCTTGTCTCCCAGGGTTTGTGATGAACTTGCTTTGTTGGCCCACAAACCGTCACCTTTCCATGATCTGCATCAGTCTTTGCAGAATTTGGGTCATTTGTAGCAACTGTTAGTTTGTAGAATCTCACTGATTGGGGACCAAGATTGCAACACTTGATTACATTTCCAGCTGGTTTGTTTCATTTTCACACTGCACTGTGTCAAATGAACCATACTTTTGAAAACCCTTTTCACCCATTTACCTATATCGCAAACCACTGGAAACCACATGAAAACCTCTGAAGAAGACAACGAGCGCAACTTCTTTCTTTACAAAATGTAAACAAAAATGGACTGGCATCAGATTTTAGTTACAGGATTTCACTTTTATTGTTGGGTAAAGACCATGTGCCATTTCTCCCTCTAACGACAGACATGCATTTGTTTTGGTTGTACTTGCTCAGAATACCCTGCACTATATTTTGTTTCCTGCTTTTGGAGCAGTGCGGTTTGCCTTCAATAACATATGGATTTGAATCACACCAGAATTCAGTTCAGCTGAATTGAGACCTAGATTTTTAGGTGGACCAGAGTTTGGTGCTTTTTGTACACATCAGACCAAAAACGCAAACTTTTTGATAATGCCATGGACTCTCCTTCAGGCCTTCATTTGTCAAATTTATTGCAAAAGAACTCAGCAGAGGCATGTTTCTTGCTTCTGAATAGGCTGAATGACAGATTAAATGCTATGATACTCATCAAGGTTAAACACTCTGAAACATCACTTTAATCCAAGGATTTATTGTTTCTTTAAAGGTGCCAGCAATTCATTCCACTCTATTCAATACTTCTTTGTAAAATTTGAAACCATGTTTATTTTTTATTCTATGGAGGATTGGACTAGACAACTCCTTTGAACAGAATCACTTTTTAAGATTAAGGATGTACTGTCAACAGAATATTGGAGTATATATAGTAATAGATTTATAACTGAAAGGGCACATTTTTCCTTTGCTCAATATATGACTCATATTACAGTGAAATGACTCAAATTATATTTTATTTGGCCTTAAAAACTAATTTGTTAAACTTTGCAGAAACCTTGAAACAGCAAGTGATGCTCATTTGAGAGGTATAGTTTTACCGTCCTCAATGCAAGCTCTGGTGAATGTGTGCAGACTTTGTCATTACTCAACCTTTGTTAGCTTGTAACAGATTCAGGGCTGGGTGTCACCGCAATATTTCACTTCTTGCTGAGAACAAAATCTAAGAGGAAGAGGCCCCAGGAGGAGGTCATGTGAGCAGCAGATGACGAGATCTAGACCATTGCCAATGAGTGCATCGCAGATTAAAGGTCCATGCGATGAAATTTAAGCGTGAGGGACAGAAACCTGACCACCTTAGTGATCCTCGTCTACATAGACCTGGCTAATCTCTGGTAGCTAATGAGGCACCTGGTCTTTGTTCAGTAAATCTTCTCTGAAAAAGCACCTAAATCCTCTCTGGACAGATGATACAGACAGCTTTATAAATGGTTGTAAGCTGTATTAATTAATCACCTTCACGGTGCAGCCTTTCCTGGCTCACACACAACTGTAACAAGGTTTGAGTTTAGCCTTTTCTTGTATCCAAGTCAATACCACTAAAATTATGACATTTTTAGGAGGATTAAGTGTATCTGGAAACCCTGAGACAAACAAAACAAACAGCATGTTTTCATGGATATTTTTCACATATATTTCCCCTGGGTGCCTTTAAATGGGACTTTCTTTGACTGCAAACAGCTATGAAACTCAGTGGCGAGTGAAGCAGCCCAGGTGGGGTCATTCCTGCGCACGTGTATTGTTTCGCCTGAGTGGACGTCTTAGGATACGTCTCTGTTGAATTCTTGTCCAGAGCTGTCACCGGCGCTGACAGGCGAGTCTGGCTCTTGGCTTTGCTGCTGTTTAGACAGGTGTTTTTGCAAGGAAAAAAACTGCAGCAACAGAATATCGGAGCAAGGATAATTCCTGGGGAAGAATTGGTAAAAGACAAAAATGATTGGTGTCTAAATGAATTTATTAAGGACTCTTTAGCTCACTATACATCTGTGATTTTTTTTAGGTTTGTTCTTCAGTTTTAGGATAACTGGTACAATAAGTGACTCTACACTATATCAATATATGTAGCCAGTCTCATTCAGTTTCATAATTTTTCACCTGAATACTTTACCTATCATGAGAAATTAGTCACTTTTAAAAATGGAACAGAGATTCTGCATGATTAATAATTTATCTGTTAAAATAATTACATGTAATGAAGGATTATCTGTATTCAGTGTTAATGCCACACACATCTTTTTCTTAGTGATATGTTCAAATAAAAAGCAGAATAAAATAATACAAAATACACAATTCTTCCATCTGCTTCTACAAAAGAAAAGGGGAAAGTATCAACTAAACTCTTGGTTTCTAAAGTTGGGGTTGGGACTTTTTTGGGGGTCACAATCATCATCAGTATTGGATGTGTTCCTCAAATGAACTCAAATGAGCTGGCCAACCACAGATTTGTGGAAGGAAACCCAAAAGATTTGACTCAAGTCATACAGTTAAAAGACATTTATTCCTGATACTTACCAAGCGTATAGAAACTTTTGAAGTAAAAGATTTCAATTAATCTGGATATCTGGATATGCACATTTTGTGCAGGTTGACCAGACTTTGGAATATTGAATATTTGGGCTTTTTCTCATTTTGAAATGCTGAAATTTCAAATTAAGAAATAATAATTATGAATGAAGTAATTGAACTATGCTGAGCATTTTAAAGATGGAAATATAGCTTTGTGGGAACTTCTTCCAGAAGATCGTTGCATACGATATAGACAAAAATATTAAGACACTGGCAAGTCGACGAGGCATGGTTCAACGTATTTGATTTTCTTATTGATTCTGTGTGGAAATAGCATTTAAGTGATAATGCACAGCACTCGTAGCTTCTCGGGGAGAAGCTTAGCAGAAGAAGCTTAATGGCTAAAAAATACCTACACATTGAAAGTTTCAGGATGCACAGTCAAAGTCACAGCAAAATCATTCTTATTAATAACTTATAGATGTGTGTAAGCGGTCAGATTTTTTTATGTGGTCACTACAATCATTTTAGTTCCAGCAAAGAGGCAGAAATAAACTGACAGAAAATGTTTTTATGTACTCAGCACTTTAAATTTACTCAGTACTTATGATCTCAGATTGTGTTTCGGTCTACCACCAAAACTGGAACACTTCTTCGTCCCAGAGACCTGCTTATTTAAAATCAGTATGCACAAATCATGCCTGTTTGGATTTCTCTTTCCTCGTTCCTCTTCGTCTGGGTTTCTCATTGCCGCAACTGTGGGATGACAAGTCTCAAAATCTACATGACAAGCTGGTAAGAGGGTCCATAGTTGTGGGCTGGGCTCTCGTTTTGTGTGTTTGGATAGATTGGGGCCAACACCCTCTTGATTACCCACTCACCCTCATCCGTTTTCCACCTGTGCAGAGTGCCAGACCCGTACTGCTGTGGGAGAAGGCAGGACTGAGTCATGAGCTCCAGTCCCGCTGGTCCCTATATTAGTTCCCATCTGCTGTTGCACTGGGCCAGCCAGCGGTAACTGGATTGACAAGCAAGACAGATACAGAACCTGAAGTAGGAAAACATGGCTTCCATTTTTTCAGCACTCATAAGGAGAGTGATGCCGCTTGGTTTCCACAATGCAACAGGAAGATTACACTCTTTTTACTGCAGGGTTTCTCAGAAAGTCTGTTTGCATTTTAAATGGAAAAAATTCTAATTCTGCTCATCTCATTTGCTGCTTCTGTAGAGCAGTGGCAAAGTCCTGGTAGGTGCCCTGTATCTGTTCCAGCAAAGAGGCACTCGATTTATTTTAGGGGTAAGGATGTGGCCATTCAGAGGGGTCATATTTTTAGTCTGCTGGTGTGGTGAGAAGTCAGGCCAGAAAAAGCAGAGATTCTGAAAAAGACGCCCAGGGGACACAAAACTGAAAGTCTGACGCACTCCAGAAAGTGTGCATTGGTGCTTTCTCAGTGCAATCCAAACTGAAAAGAATAGAAATATTCTTTATTGTCCCACAATGGCAAAATTTCTGTGCAACAGTATCAAAGTTACAGGCAATATAAGGAAATAGACTCATAAAGATAGAATATGGAATATGAAAAGAGAAAAAAGAATAAAAATCAAATGTAGATACAGTGTAGTTATGAAAAATAGCGTACTTCAGTTCAAATAAATGTGCAGCTGAGTTGGTCAGATAAAACTTGTGCAAAATGTGAATGACTGAGCATTAAATGAGACTAGTTACAATTAGTGAGAACAAAAACTGCAAGAGTAAAGATGTACAGATACCAGCATCAGTGTTTACAAATAGATTTATTGAGTCGGTAAAAATAGATTTAATAACCGTTAAATTGTAAAAATTGTAGTCTAGTGTTCAACATTGGTGCTGTCAATCTATTTAACAAGCATGAAAGGATTGCTCACAGTTGGGATACGGAGAGGGAAATCCAATTTCTTTATTGAAATTTAAGCTACCGGTCTTCATAATTTGAAATTAAGGGCAAAGGGGTTTGTAGGGCACAAGATGTTCGCAACGTCTTGGGTTTGGCATGAAGCAAAAAAAATGAATGAATAGGAAAAACAGCTCATGCCCAAGATGGTTGAGGGATAAGTTGCCAGTCTGTCACACAGCAACACAGAAACACACAGGACAAAAACACATGCACACACACGCGCTCAATTTAAAGAAACCACCAACCGAGCAGCCATTTTTGAACAGCAGGAAGAGGAGAACC